GGATTTCGAAAGAAGTTGATTTTGATGAATCAAAACGATATGAAATCGTTAAAGATTTAAATAAAATGGCTCGTGCATTTCGACAAATGGCTACTGATGTAAATATAATTTACACAATAAAAAAAAAAAAAAAAGATAAAATCATTTTTCTTATTTATTTGAAAGGCACAACCATCTTTACCTGATATATTTTTATGGATGATATGTGACTCAAAACGCGTAGCTTATGCACGTTTTCAACCTGAAGATCTTTTTTTTAATTTATGTAGAGGTGAAAAAGGTTTAAATAGTGGTCGTGTACAAACTATTTTTCTTAAAGTATGTTACAATTCTTATTTCATTGTTTTGACAAAAAAGAAAGAAAAATATAATTATTATTTATTTTCAGACACCACGTTCAACAGATAAACCATTAAGTAAATCAACAAATGCGAGAGTACAAATCTATCTTTGGCTTGGTATTGAAGAATATGAACCACTTATATTTAAACAATTACCTGCTGGTTTTGATATGCCACCATTACCACTAAATCCTCAAATGAAATTTATACGATATAATGGTTAGATATTAATAGAGAGCTGAAAAAAAAACACGATAAATAAATACAGTAAAACCTCCCATAGGTAGAGATTTCGCAGTCCGACTAACAAGAAAGCTTCCTCAGATGTGCCCTTCCAAGTTCAATGATTTTTTTCCTACAGATACTATGTAATGTTCTAATTGATAAATCTAAAACAATCTGTAGAACTCCAGATTTTTGAAAAATTTGAATTTTATTCTGAAACTTCTTATATATAGAGAATTCAATTCGACTAGTTAGTTTTCATTAAAAAAACCTCATAACTTTTGAACAAAGTCGTTTCGAGACATGAGATTTCAAGATATAGACTCTTTTCCATAGATAATGTAGACAACATACACTTTTTGAAAGCTTTATATATATATATATATGAATAAGACTTTGTTAATAATTCTATAGAAGATAATCTAGATGATCTCTCTATATACAAAATATTTCGGATCAAAATTTAAAAAAAAGGAGTTTTTCGAAAAGCTGGAACTTCTAGAAAATAACCATATAAAAAATTCGACACTTCAGTCAGGTCTCAATAGTTACCAAAATCATTTTAGGATTTTTATGAGAACACTGCATACTATCTAGAAACAAAAATCATTGAAATCGGGAGAGAACATCTAAGGACGTTTTCTTATGATTTTTGCTGGAAGCGAACCTATGTACAGTAGATATCTCTTTTAATAGACATCTCAATACAGTGAATAATTTTGAAAGTCCCAGCTATTACTTTTTTCTGGAAATGAATATCTCTTTAGTGGACACTGTCATATAGTTCTATGGTGAATACATTTAAAAAGTACCAGTGATGTCCGCGATAGAGAGGCTTTACTATATTTTAACAAATGTTATTTTCTCGAGAAAAAGAATACATGAAAAGATGAGTAATAATAAGCAATAGTTAGCTTTTTTTTTTCGTTTATTCACTAACACTCTTCAGATACTTAGAAAACGCACCTGATCTTTGTATGAAAACTGCTTTTAGAAAAGACCTAATTTGTTTCTAGTACAAACTCTTTAGACTTTTCAAAAGAATCCAATTTAAAGAGGTGATACTGTGTATTTTTAGGACGAACTTTTTATGAAGTACGATGTCATTGTTATAAAGCAAGAGCGTTAATTGCTGCTGATGAAACAGGTTTATCTGATCCTTATTTAAGTATTACAGTTGGTAATGAAACACAAACAACACCAGTAACTATTCTAGTGTTCGTAATTACTTTTGTTAATTTCTTTTGTTTTGCATAGGTTCTCAGAGAATCATTATGTCCACAATGGAATGTAACATTAGTTTTTCGAAATTTGCTACATGTCGGAACTCGAGAAACAGCTGAGGAAATTATTGGAAATATTGTTGTCGAATGTTATGATTATGATGAAGTAAGTAGACAGTGTAAAAGTGGGAAAAAATGCATTTCAATAGCATGATAATATCAGTATGGGAGTTAAAACTGATCTCGTTATAAGTTTCAACTCAAGTTATAATTATCATACATTATAACTCAATTTAAATTTTTGAATTTTTCAGTAGATTTAATTAAATTGAAATGGTAATTATTTTTATTTGATTGATATTTTTGATAGCATAAATAAAAATATATGTATTTAATTTCTTTTTTACTTTTAAAAACTTCGTATTTATAAATTATTTTCGAAGAGTTTTGTTTTCATGTATTCGTCTGCAAGTCTCGTTTTCTCATATTTCTATGTCGAGTGCAAATCCATGTGTAATACAATATATTTTTCATTGTGTAATCAATGATAATGTCTAAAATTTGAGCATCTGAGAATAGTATTTAAAAATTGCAACTAATATGTTCTAGTTCTTATTCTCTAAAATGGTAATTATCTTCGTTATATGTGCTGAAAAAATTTCGATAACGTTTCCTATTATTATAATTACGTATTCGTTTATTTCAACACAGATTAACTATATTAACTTATTTTCAGTTCATTCATATATGTTCATCACTATTTTTATCAACATATAGATTATTCTATACATCATTTTATTCACAGGCAAAGAACAACTATGAGAAAATATAACTTGCAGATGAATATAGGGAATAATACTCAGAGAATAATCTGTAAATATTAAATTTTTAAAGTTAATAACAATGAAATACATGTATTTTAATTTATTTGATTAAATATGTCAATTAAATCAAAATAATTACTATTTCAACTTAATTAAATCTACTCAAAAATTTAACAGAGTTAAAATAGTCAACAGTCAAAATTCAAATTATAATCATTTTTACTTGTTTCTGTTTTTCTCAATTATCAACTTTTTTATAAATAGTTTTAATTCCCACACTGGATAATAGGTTCGAAATGCTTTTTTTTTTGTTTTCACGTTGAATCTTTTATCTTTATTTATTGAATATTAACATTACAATTTGATATTTATGATTTTAGTCAAATATCGCTGTAAGTCATAAGCTTGCTAAATTAATGTTAGCATCCATATTAAGATTTATGTTCAATGTCGAATTGGCCTAAGCCAATATAAAATTCGTTTGAACATGATTCGTCTAATCTGAGATTGTTCGAAATTGTTTATGAATACTAACATAAATATTCATATCACAGTTAATTGCTTATAGTTTGGCTATTTTGTTTCTCTAGTTTTTATTATTAATGTTATTCAGTGATCAGTCTTCTATAGTCTGAGCTTATGAAATACAACTATAAATTTTGATATAATAATCATGATATAAATAGATGATTTATCTGAACTAGAAATGTGCAGTGTCAATGTCAAAACTGAACTATTGACACTGACGCTACCAATATTGAAGTTTATTTGATACAAGGCAGTGAAACTCATATAAACATTGATATTGATATTCACAAAATCGCTAAAAATATTGAAACTAAAGCTCAATGAAATTTTTTGATAGTGAAACATTGAGGCATTAACTCTGTCAAAGTATTTTACTTTTTACATCTTTTTTTTTGTTTTAATCAGTCACATAAAATATTGAAATAAATCCTTTTATAGTCTGAACAAAAAATAAAATAATAAACAATGTGAATAGTCTATAATTATGAACGATGATTCGAATTTCTCCATCGATGATTTATAGTTAGTAAATGTAAGTTTTGTTGTAATATGGATATGTGGATTAAGAGTGTAAAATTGATATTTTGAGTTAGGATTATCTTCAAATTGAGTTAGAATTTTTGTAA